GCTCCCTTCACCCCCTAAGCCCCCTCCTGCTCCTGGTATCTCTTCTTTCCCAATCCAACCTCAACCATCACAAGCTACTCTCCCCTCTCCTTCCACCCTTGTACTTTCTGCTCCTTTCCCAAATGTCTGCACTTCTAGGCCCCATCTCTGATATACAACCAGCACTGAAGGATGCATTACAAAATAATTTTTATGTAAGCCTTACTGAGTGAACAGCCATGTTTTAAAGGATACAAATTGTTGGTATGCCATATGGTACCCTCTCATCTGACCGGCCACACTGTAGTCTATCCAAATGATATTTAAAAAATCTTCAAATAACACAACCCAGCCCCTATCCATCTATCTGGGTGGGCCATATCTCTGAACCTAAGCCTCGGATTTTCTCCTGGTCTTCCCTTTAAAATATTAATTCCAACTATCTAGAATATCCCCATATTATGTCCTAACCAAAATGCTTACTGGCAACTTATTAGTTCTTGGCTGCCCATGCCAAATGTCTAAGATTCTAGCCCATGAAGGTTATTCTCTTCCTCCCCCATATCCCTCACTCCTGCACTAATTTATTCCTCTAACACAGGCTTCTCCTCATAATTTGACTTGTACTATCTGCATTTGTGGCTCCTGCTCCTAAACAAAGCTCACCAATCTTATTCTTACCACCACGTATGTTATATTCTTGTCACCCGCCCTCATTCTGCTGACCACCATGGGGGTTACTGGTGCTGCCTTGGAGGCCACAATATTACACAACATAATAAAATAATTAATGCCAATCAGGAAATGCCCAGAATAATTTCCATATATATGATTCAAACTGCCACAGCCCTGGAAGCCCTAAATGAGAGACAATGCTCCCTGGCAGCTGTGGTTGCTAATAATCGCCTAGCCTTAGATTATCTGCTGGCCAGCCAAAAGGGCATTTGTTCTCATAAGGGTACCTATTGCTGCATGCTGCTAAACAACACGGGCAAAGTTTCTCAAGAAGCACAACACATGATCTGTTTCTCTGGCAGAAATTTTCCCCCATTACCACCCCTCAACTACTACAAAGTCCCAAACCCATTCCCTCTGCTTTGCCCAAGCCAACTTGTGGCTTATACCCAGCCAGCTTTCCCAGGAGTCCTTTGTGGCTCATTCTTTCTCTTAAATTCTCTTCTTATGTGAAGCGTCATGAGCCCCTGACCTCTGAACCAAAGCATGTGCCTCTTGATAATACGCGCTGTGACATGTATATGAAAGACCTATAGCCCGAATATTTAATACACACGCGCGCGCATGCACACACACACACACATGCACGTGCACAAACATGCCAAAATGTTAGCCTTTGTAAAGTGTGGGTGAAGGGCATACAGGAAGTCATTCAATCATCCTTACAACTTTTTTCCAAGCATGAAATCATTAAAAAAATAAATTTAAAAAAATTGAATCCCAACTGGAATCATGCCCCAAAAAAGTTTGAGCTTGGAACTATGCCCAAGAAGAAAGAAGTCTAAGACATCCTGGCTTTAGGGACACTGTCTCCTGTGACTCCAGTCCCCTCTGGTTCCTGGTCACAGTGTTCTCCAAATGGCAGTAAGAAATTGGCCAATTAACCCACAAAAGCTCCTCCCTTACTATGAAGAGAAGCTGAGAATTTGGCAAGTCTGGAAGAAGTGTCTGAACTCACTGATGATGATCACAGGTCAGAAGGAGCTGGAAATCCCACCAACAGCATAAAAGGATTCCCCTTTCTCTGCATCCTCACCAACTTTTGTTGTTTCCTGTCTTGTTAATTTTAGCCATTCTGACAGGTGTGAGGTGGTATCTCATTGTGGTTTTGATTTGTATTTCCCTGATGGCTAATGATGTGGAGCATTTTTTCATATATCTGTTGACCATTTGTATGTCTTCTTTGGAGAAATGTCTGTTCATGTCTTCTGCCCATCTCTTGACTGGATTATTTGTTTTTTGTGTGCTGAGTTTGAGAAGTACTATATGTTGACTAACTGAACTTAAATTAAAAAAAAAAAAAGAAGGAGCTGGAAATCTGCCTTGGCAATGGATCTGCCCATGTGCTCATGGGTTTGTGTATGAGTATCTCTGTGTTTGTGAGTGTGTGTTGTCTGCATGTATTGTGTATGTTTGTGTACATGTTGTTTGATAGTTGCATGTGTGTGTACTACGTATCTCACTCAGCCTGATTCTTTTCCTCAGTTAAACCCAAACTGGGCTTTGTTTTAGTGCATGCAGACCAAGTTGTCAGCTCCAACATGTGATTAAGGACTTCTGATTCATGTCTGTGATCTTAAATATTTGCCTCTGTTTTTTTTTTTAAACATTTTTATTTATTTATTTTTTAGAGAGCGAGCGAGAGAGAAACAGCATGAGAGGGGAGAGGGTCAGAGGGAGAAGCAGGCTCCCCGCTGAGCCGGGAGCCCGATGTGGGACTCGATCCCAGGACCCTGGGATCATGACCTGAGCCGAAGGCAGACGCTTAACCATCTGAGCCACCCAGGCGCCCTGCCTCTGTTGTTTTGATGGGGGCATTTCCCTCACTGGGGTGGGGGGCATCACAGCTGAGCAATGAGAGCTCCACCACTGGGGGAAAAGATGTCCAAACTTATCAAGGAACTGAGATCAGAGAGGGCTCAAACCTTTTCTCAGTGGGTGTGCTAGTGTGTGTGTGAGCTCGTCTGTGGGTGACACACTTTTATGTAAGAGCAGGAATGTATATTGTTTCCTTTTGTCTGTGTTTCTGTTACCATGTGTATGTTACCATGTGCATGGGTTGGAGATGGTGGTTTGATGACCATGCCTGTGACCGAACAGGCTTACCCGACCCATGATGACACCTTCTCAGTGGGAAGGGGCCAAAGCATGCTTTTCAGTAATGGGACTGCGTGTGCTGCTTGTAGTGAGTGATTAAGTGTGCATGTGTGTTCTTGGTGGATGTTTCTTGTGAGATTTTGAAATTGTGTGTGGCCTTGTGTGTTTTTGGTGATGTGTATGTATATGATGAGTTATTGATATGTTGTATGTGAGTTGTGTATTTTACCAGGTAGGTTATACTTGTGTGTTAATGGTGCATTGTGAGTATATTTGTGGGTGATACATTATTGCATATTATGTGTTATAAATGACTTGTATGTATATCAGTATTTATGAAATGAAACAAATACTGGCTCTCTTTCCCTTACATTGGGACTCAAACACTGGTGCCTGAAATCCTCAAATCAGCAGTGTGTGTATGCATGCGTGTGTGTGTGTGCATGTGTGGTGTTTGTACGTGTGTTTGGAGGCTTCTGATTTGCACTCATAACCTCAAATAGTTCTTTCAGTGACCTCCTTCTGGGGTAAAATAAATGGAGATAACCAGTGCCCCAAGAGACTGTTTTCTAAAAAAGTTCTGTTATCATTTTCATATACCTAAGTGTGACTGAGTGGCTCAGAGTTTTGTAACCCTTGCATGTTCACCTAACATACCAGGCAAAGAAATGTTAGTTGTCATGCCCAGTGAAGTTAGAGCACAGAAACCCCACCAAATGGTGGCAGGACCTTGGGAAAATCACTCAATTCTTTGGCCTCAGTTTACATATCTATAAAATGGAAGCTTACAGGCCCTCAATAAGTATTTATGGCTTGAACAGAAGTTAATGTATGTGAGAGCTTTTTGTCAGTTGGAAAATATATAAATATGAAAGGAAATATCTAGACAGGGCACTAAGAAAACTTCGGACAACTTCAGTGTCCTTGCAAACCTAAAATAACAGTGTGTCTGGCATTTACAAGCAATGAAATGGGAGAGTTCCATGTTAAAAGCCTGGGCACTGATCACACAGTATTAAGATGAACTCCATGAAGTGACCACTATTTGATCATTTTAGCCTACAGAAAATGGCAATTATATATACAAGACTATAGTTCAATATATATATATGCATATATGTATATATGCATACATACATTACAGTTGACCCTTGAACAACATGGGTTTGAACTGCACAAGTCCACTTATACATGGGTTTCTTCCGACAAATACAGAACATACAGTAAGTGTGCTTTCTCTTCCTACGGTCTTTTGATAACATTTTTTTCTAGATTACTGTATTGTAAGAATATAGTATATAATACATATACAAAGTATGTGTTAATCAACTGTTTATGTTATTGGTAAGGTTTCTGGTCAACAGTAGGCTATTAGTAGTTAAGTTTTGGAGGAGTCAAAAGGAATATGTAGATTTTCAACTGTGTGCAGAGTTGGTGCCCCAACCCCCATGTCATTTAAGGGTTACCTGTATATTGCATATATGTGTGTATGTATATGTACATTCCATGTGTATGTTTATATATATTCCATCTAAGTATATGTATATGCATAGATGGAATATAGAGATGGAATATACTTATGTATACAAATATCGCTATCTCTGTGCATATGTATGTGTGTATATGTATCCCCTCTTATATGTATGGATATATATATTCACAAGAGGAATGTGACAATATTCCAACAATGCCACCTCAGCACTGACATTGCATGTCACTTTATAGCAGAAACAACTGATACCAATTTGCCAAGGGTCATCTACTATTTCTGCCACAGTGAACTGTTATGCTTTGACTCTATCTCAGTGTCATGAATTATCCCAGTAAGTGCATAAAAAATATACCCATAGAAGGAAGGGACCCTGCTTTTCTTGTTTGCTGCTGCATTCTCAGTCCTTAGTAGAGAGCCAGGTTCAGTCTCAATGTTCAATAAATAATGGTCAAATGAAAGAGTGAACATCCTCTTGCTTCTGTGCAATGAGATCTTGTTGGCTGCTTTTGGTTGTAATGTTTTCCCAGAACCAGACTGGGATAGAGTGAAGATGCATGCATCCACAGGTGTGAGAAATTAATAGGAATGTAGTTTAAAATGCATTGTCTTTTCAGAAATTTACAGTATGGACTGTATCCCTATCATTCTTCCCTTTTATTCCCAACCCTTCTTTATCCCCAGCATGCAAAAGCACAGCATGAGTCTGAAGAACCAGAGCAGCATGTCCGAGTTCCTCCTCCTGGGGCTCCCTATCCGGCCAGAGCAGCAGGGTGTGTTCTTCGCCCTGTTCTTGGGCATGTACCTGACCACAGTGCTGGGGAACCTGCTCATCATCCTGCTCATCAGGCTAGATTCTTGCCTCCACATCCCCATGTACTTCTTCCTCAGCCACTTGGCCTTCTCTGACATTTCCCTTTCATCTGTCACAGTTCCAAAGACGTTGATGAACATGCAGACTCAGCAAAAATCCATCCCCTATGTGGGGTGCATTTCACAGGTGTATTTCTTTATATTTTTTAGTTGCCTTGACAATCTTCTTCTCACAATGATGGCCTATGACAGGTATTTGGCTGTCTGTCACCCTCTTCACTACACCACCATCATGAAGGACAGGCTTTGTATTATCCTAGTGGCTGGATCCTGGTTTTTCTCTTGTGTCCAAGCTCTGTTGCACACCCTCCTCGTGGACCAGTTGTCCTTCTGTGCCGGGACTATCATCCCCCACTTCTTTTGTGATCTTGCTGTTGTGCTCAAGTCCTCCTGCTCAGACACCTCCCTCAATGAGCTGCTTATCCTCACTGAAGGAGGATTCATCTTCATCCTGCCATTGAGTGGTATCTTGGCCTCATATATCCGCATGGCAGGCATCATTCTGAAGGTCCCCTCCTTCAAAAGAATCTCCAAAGCCTTGTCTACATGTGGCTCCCACCTCTTTGTGGTGTTTTTATACTATGGGACAATTGCCGGTGTTTACTTTTTCCCTTCATCAGGCAACTCCAAAAACAAGAATATAATTGCTTCTGTGATGTACATGGTGGTCACCCCTATGCTGAATCCCTTCATCTACAGCCTGAGGAATAAGGATATGAAACATGCTCTTCAGAAAATTTTTAGAGCCAAAGACTCCCCCTTGGTGTGATTAATTTAACCCTGCTGTCATGGGCACTCATTGGGCTATAAACATGTTTCCTTTAAAAGTTGTGACTTGGGAGGGCAAGAGGATGGGTTAAATGGGTGATGGGTATTAAGGAGTACACGCGTTGTGATGAGTACCAGGCGTTGTGTGTGAGTGAGGAATCACTAAATTCTATACCTAAAAATAATATTAGACTGTCTGTTAACTAACTGGAATTTAAATAAAAACTTGGGGGGACTAACATAACATAATAAAATTTTAAAAAAAAGAAATTGTACACTTTGCTTAGAGAAAAACTGCCAATTAGCATTTATTACAGTGAACGGATATTACACTAAATTTTTGTTCTACAATTGTAACTAAAGCAAAGATATGAGCGAAATTCTATTCTCTTATTAAATGCCTGTAAGCACACACACAAAAAAAAACTTGGGGGGAAAAGTTGTGACTTGGACAGCTCTTACTGCTGACACCATTCTTGACCTTGTCTCATTTTACATTTCTTCTCGTGTTTTTCTTCACCTGATTGGTTTTTGTCCCTACTTGTTCTCTGAATTCTGTGTATTACTGTTTCTGCAGAGAAATCCCAAGCCGTCCTGTGATGTTCACTGCAAGTCTGTGAGACTTTTGAGCCCACTTCCCTGAGCTTTAAGAAGTTTTCTTATCTCCCTCTTTTTCTTCAATAACTCTCTTTATCTGGTACTGATATCAACACATATTTATATGACTTTTCTTAATACCACCAAATTTTGTTAATTTCATACATGAAGAATTCAGAAGTTACCAAACTGCTTTATGTATTGAATGGTGTCTATCACAGCTGGTATTAATTAACCATTTAACTGCATATTTTATTTAATCCTCAATACAAGCCTCTTATAAGGATACTAATATTTTCCATATTTAGCAAGCCCAGAGAAATCAAGTAAGTAGCTGCCCTAAGACTTAATCTTAGACATGAGATTTAAAGCCATCTGTTTAACCAGATTACTTTATCACCACTATCCTGGTCTGCCACACCACTGACCAGTCTGGACATTTTTGATCCTTATATATAGCATACAATAAATACTCTTTCGTATTCCATTTTTATTCAGTATACTTATGGTTAAATCATTCTCAAGGCTTTATAGTTTTCAAATGTGTCTATACATCTTAATTTATTCATCTATTCTAGTTTTGTTTTGTTTTTTAATTTAGAGACAGAGTATGTGTGAGCGGGGTAGGGCAGAAGGAGGAGAGAATCTTTTTGTTTTGGTGTTTTTTCTTTTAACATATAATGTATTATTTGTTTCGGGGGTACAGATCTGTGATTCAGCAGTCTTACACAATTCACAGCGCTCACCATAGCACATACCCTCCCCAATGTCCATCACCCAGCCACCTCATTCCTCCCACCTCCCTCCACTCCAGCAACCCTCAGTTTGTTTCCTGAGATTAAGAGGCTGTTATTATGGTTTGTCTCCCTCTCTGGTTTCGTCTTGTTTCATTTTTCCCGCCCTTCGTCTATGATCCTCTGTCTTGTTTCTCAAATTCCTCATATCAGTGAGATCATATGATACTTGTCTTTCTCTGATTGACTTATTTTGCTTAGCATAATACCCTTTAGTTCTATCCACATCGTTGCAAATGGCAAGATGTCATTTTTGATGGCTGCATAATATTCCAGTGTGTGTGTGTGTGTGTGTGTGTGTGTGTGTGTGTATGACATCTTCTTTATCCATTCATCTGTTGATGGACACATCTAGGCTCTTTCCATAGTTTGGCTATTGTGGACATTGCTGCTATAAACATTGGGGTGCATGTGCCCCTTCGGATCACTACATTTGTATCTTTGGGGTAAATACCCAGTAGTGCAATTGCTGGGTCGTGGGGTAGCTCTATTTTCGACTTTTTGAGGAACCTCCACACTGTTTTCCAGAGTGGCTGCACCAGCTTGCATTCCCACCAACAGTGTAGGAGGGTTTCCCATTCTCTGCCCCTCACCAACATCTGTCCTTTCCTGACTTGTTAATTTTAGCCATTCTGACTGGTGTGAGGTGGTATCTCATCGAGGTTTTGATTTGGATTTCCCTGATGCCAAGTGATGTGGAACACTTTTTCATGTGTCTCTTGGCCATTTGGATGTCTTCTTTGCAGAAATGTCTGTTCATGTCTTCTGCCCATTTCTTGATTGGATTATTTGTTCTTTGGGTGTTGAGTTTGGTAAGTTCTTTATAGATTTTGGATACTAGCCCTTTATCTGATATGTCATTTGCAAATATCTTCAGAAGAGAGACTCTAAAGGAGGCTCCATGTTCAGTGCAGAGCCCGATGTGGGGTTCAATCCACAACTCAAGATCATGACCTGATCTGAAATCAAAAGCTGGACGCTTAAGTGACTGAGCCACCCAGGTGACCCTCATTCATTCTAGTTTTGATTGACATTTGGGTTGTTTCCAGTTTGGGACTGTGTATATACTGGAGAATGGGTCATAGTGTATGCATATTTTCAGCATTAATAGATAATATCAGAAAGTTAGATAAAGTGCTTGTACCATTACATTCATCCCTGTAATAAATGAAAAAGTGTGGTCCACTTGCTCAACAACACATATACTGTCCATCTTCTCCAATGTACACATGCTTATGGGTTTGTAGAAATCATGTGTTGTGGTTTTTATTTGCCTTCTCTGATAACTCATGTAGTTTATCTCTTTTGCCTATGCTTACTGATCATTTAGGTATTTTCTCTTGTAAAGGACCTGCTCCCAATCCTTTACTGCTGTTTTATTGGGTAGTCTGCTTTTTAACATTAATTTGTAAAAATTCTTTATATATTCTAGGTATGAGTCCTTTGTTAAATATATGGATTGAGGACTTTTTCATTATGTGGCTTGCTTTTTCAATATCTTAACAGTCTATTTTGAGTTAATTTTGTGTAATTAACACACACCAAAAGGTTCAATTTCATTCTTTTGCATGTAGATATTCAGTGTTCCCAGAGCCATTTATTTAAAAGATAATTCTTTCCCCTACTGATCTGTCTTGGCATCTTATAAAAATTCAGCTGGATATAAATTTGAGGGATTACTTCTGGATTTTCAGCTCTGTTCCATTGGTCTATATCTATCTTCAGGCCTATATCATAATATCTTGATTACTGTAGTTTTGTAGTAAGATTTGAAATCAGGACATATGGATCCTGACACTTTGTTCTATTTCTTTGACATTGTTTTTTTTTAGTTGGGATCCCTTGAATTTCCATGCATAGTTTAAAATCAGCTTGTCAATTTCTGCAAAGAAGACAGCTAGGTAATGACAAGCTGATTTTAAACTACATATACTGTATTCTTACAACAAACTAAGCTAGAGAGAATAAAATATTATTAAGAAAATCATAAGGAAGAGAAAATACATTTACATACTGTCCTATATTTATGAAAAAAAAAATCCACATATAAGTGGACCCATGCAGCTCAAAGTTGAGTTGTTCAAGGATCAATTGTATATACAAAATCATCAGAAAATACAGTTTTGCTCCTTCCTTTCCAATCTAGATGCCTTTTATTTTATTTTATTTTTTGCTTGACTGCCCTAGCTAGAACCTCCAGTAAACATTGAATACAAGTGATATTGTTCTTGAGCTTAAAGGGGAAGCCTAGATAGAGGTGATGGTCGCACACCACTGTGAATATACTTAATGCTACTGAGTTGTACACATTAAAATGGTTAAAATGGTAAATTTTATGCAAATTTTACGTGTATTTTAGCACAATAAAAAATAATCAAACAATGCAATTTATCCCCTAAGCAAAATAAAAGAAGGACTAATGAAAAAAATTATATGAATCTCAGAAGAACAAAAAATAAAATTGGAGAAGAAATATTTAGAAAAATAATGGAGACAAATTAGTCGGAGTTAAATATTAATGACTTCCGATTCAAAGGTCTAGAGAGTGATAAAGAGGAAAGAAAATGAAAAGCTCACACATTCATAGGTTTAATAAATTTTAAGAATTTCAAAGTCAAAAATTCTGAGAGAAAGGGAAGTTTGCCTGCAGGAATCATACTCATATCAGACTTCTTAATAGCTACACTGGATGTAAAAAAGCAATGAAATATTTTTATTTTTTTATTATGTTATGTTAATCACCATACATTACATCATTAGTTTTTGATGTAGTGTTCCATGATTCATTGTTTGTGTATAACACCCAGTGCTCCATGCAATACGTGCCCTCCTTAATACCCATCACCAAGCTACCTATCTCCCACCCTCCTTCCCTCTAAAACCCTCAGTTTGTTTCCCAGAGTCCATAGTCTCTCATGGTTATCTCCCCCTCTAATTTCCCTCCTTTCATTTGAAATATTTTTAATGCATAAAAGGAATACAGCTTTAAAATCAATAATTTATATCCAGCAAAGTTGCCATTCAAATGTAGAAACATATTACAAATATTCTTATATATCTAAATAAAGGTAATTTATATATCTATATAAAGCTTCAGAAGGTTTGCCTCACTGAAATTTGTGAAGGAAACACTACATCAAAAACTAATGATGGGAGGGGGAAGATGGCGGAGGAGTAGGGGACCCTATTTCAACTGGTCAAACTCTCTCTTTTCGCAAACAACATGATACTTTATGTGGAAAACCCAAAACACTCCACCCCCAAATTACTAGAACTCATCCAGCAATTCAGTCATGTGGCAGGATACAAAATCAATGCACAGAAATCAGTTGCTTTCTTATACACTAACAACGCAACTGTAGAAAGAGAAATTAGAGAAACAATTCCATTTACAATAGCACCAAAACCCATAAGATACCTCAGAATAAACCTAACCAAAGAGGTCAAGGGTCTATACTCTAGGAACTATAGAACACTCATGAAAGAAATTGAAGAAGACACAAAAAGATGGAAAAATATTCCATGCTCATGGACCGGAAGAATAAACATTGTTAAAATGTCTATGCTACCCAGAGCAATCTATACCTTCAATGCCATCCCGATCAAAACT